CGTAAGGAATCATTGGAGAAGCACACTACAATCTCTTTAAAAGACAAGTAGGACTTTTCCTCAGCTAGTTCTCGTTAGAGCAGATCATTCACAGCCTTTTAGGATATAGGCTACTTTCGCTTTACAGAGGTTACTTTTCAGTAACTGAGCTGTAAGTCTGGCTTTTTTGGGTGCAGTTTCACTATCAGATTTTAAAGACATCTTTAGGAAAGCAGTTTAGCACTGGAGATTCTGCATCAGTGGCAAAAAACCTCGTGAAACCTTAGGAGTAAATCAGAAGGTGCTAGGGAAAATTCATTTTTTAAAGAAAAGTATCCAAGTTTGTTGTGTAGTTTCACACGCAGTGTGAAATGTCTGTATGATTTTGCTCTAGGATATTTTGGAATATAAAAAGAAACAGAGACCTCAGAAAATCCGCATGCTGGATGGATCTGTGAAAACAGTGATGGTGGACGACTCCAAGACCGTGGGGGAACTCCTGGTTACTATCTGCAGCAGGATAGGTGAGCATTCATGTGCCTAGGTTCTGGCTTTTGTTTTGTTTTTTAATAGCATGCCTTTTTTTTTTCCACCCCCTGTCAGCGTCTAGACAATTTTGAATATATCCTTACACATTGAATTTTGTCCAATCCCAAGAGAGTATGTTCATTCTCCTGATATGCAGATTCACCAACTGGTATTGTAAACACTTGAACTTCTCACTGAGTCACAAGTGAGAGCTTTTATTTCCCTTTAAAAGTCAAAAGGAATTTTGAAATTGACAGTAATGTTTTTGAAGTCATATAAGTCAGTCTCCCACCCATGGCTCTGATTCTGACGTCCAGAATCTCCTTGAATACCCATGGAGACAGTGTATACAATTATTAGACACCTTTTTTGTCCTAACTTCTGTTGGTCTCCTCAGGGAACAAGTCCGTCTTCTTTCTACATGAAGCCCTTTGAATATCTGAAGAAAGCAGCTCTGCCTGTCATGCAAAGGAAGCCCAGTTCCCTCAGATACTTCTTGCTTGACATTGTCTTGTCTTCCTTTGTATAACCTCTACTTTGTTCCTAATTCTCAAAAATTAGTCAAAAAACTTGAACATGACATTGTGAATGTGACTTAATCTGCTGAAGATGAGCCTTTCTGGCCAGTTATTTGATGTGTGCTCCATGAGTGACCCTGACCCTGACCCTGACCTTGGCAAAGCCTTTTCATCTCCATTGCCCCCAGGGACTCCTTGGAGTATTGGAGGCCCCAGGATGGAGGGGTTGATAACATTGTAATCACTGATCATTATACCAATTGATATTTTTAGGAATAACAAACTACGAAGAATACTCTTTAATCCAAGAAACCATCGAAGAAAAGAAAGAAGAGGGGACGGGTACGCTAAAAAAAGACAGGACGCTGTTACGAGACGAGAGGAAGATGGAGAAGTTGAAGGCCAAGCTTCACACGGATGATGACCGTGAGTGTCGGAGGAGGGCGGGCGCTGCAGGCGCGTGGTTCTGCCAAGCATCACTCCCCTCCCAGCATCTCTGTGACCCAGGGCAGGGATTTTGTTTGTTTTATTTCATCTAGAAACATTTTGGCCTGTGTCACTAAAAGATAAAGACTCTTAAGGGGAAAAAAGTGACAATAATACCATGTCCTATCTATAAAGTAATCTCTTAATACCAAGTACACACAGAATGTTCATGTTTTCTCCATTGCCTTCTAAAATTTTTTGGTAGCAGTTTGTTTGAACTGAGGTCCAAATAAAGTTGAATAATAAAGATTGCTTAACTTTTTTGGTCTCAAAGCTTTCCCTCCATTTCTTATATTTTTTCCTTACAAGTTTTGCAGGGGAGAAACCAGATTGTTATTAGTGTAGAATTTCCTACACCCTGGATTTTGTTGATTGCATATTTGCAATGTTGTCTGACATGTTCATCTGTCCTGTTTTATTCCTGAGATCTGGGGGCTTGATCAGATTTGTGTGTATGTGTGTTTAGAGACTCCTGTGTACTTCCATTAGAAAGTTGAATTTGGTTGTCTCCTTTTTTTGTGATATTAAGAGCCGTTGATGACAAATGGTCTAGGTTCATTATTTCCTTAGGGGTTGCAAAATGGTAATATAATTGTACCATAGGGAAGTCCATTTCTACAGCCACAGAGTTAATATATAGAAAAGCCAGTATGTCCACCCCATGTGTCCCCATAATCTGTGCTGCGTGCACCTGGCTGCCTGACCACGCCCCCTCCCCTCCGCAGAGGATCTTACTTCATGCACATTTCACTCAGACCTTCCCAGCCTCTTAATTTCTTTCATTGTTCTTGCTCTTGCTGCTGCATTGGGAAGATGTCATCATTATCATAATGTTTATTGATCTTCATTGGGGATTTCATTTCCTCCGACTCTCTGTCTCTCTCTCTGTCTTTTTTTTTTTTTTTTTGCCTGATTTGATTTCCAGTTGCTTCTTTCCAGGTGAAACCTTAGTAGACAAATCCTCAGGATTTTTAGATCATGCATGACACTCTCCGAGGTATTGTGGGAGATGAGCTCAATCCAACACATCCCCTGTGCTAAAGTTACTTACAATCCGTGGAGGCTTGCAAGGAATACTTCCTCACAGTGTGTGTGCGAAGCCCAGGGAAGAGTGTAGGAATGAGAGCTGTGGAGTGTGTAGAGGAATGAAGTATTCCTGTGCTCCTGAGCACCAGGCAAGTGTTTTCTGAGTGAGAGTCAAGCTGGGCCATGGGCGGGATTTTGCCGCCCCGACTCCTTAGTCCTGCCCTCCCCTCACCCTAATTATTTTCATTTTCCTCCTCTTTTCCTCATTAAGGTTAGAGGTAGTAACTCATTATGCTCAGAGTTTGTTAATTATTTCACCTGATCAGACTGAAGATCACTCTTGACTTAAAGGATCATGCTACGTGGTTGTCTTGGTGATTTCCTTATTCCCCGCCCGCCAGAAGGAAGGGGCATATTATAAATTCATTGCGGGGCTTTACTAACTTAGGAATGGCTGCAAACTTCTTTCTCATTTTCCTTTTGCTGTGTCACAGGGTACACGTGCTCACATCTAATGTAAGAAGTAACTGTAACTAAGTATCAGCATTCTAGAAGCCTGCATCTGTAGAGCGCCCCTGTTTTGGTTAACCCCCTTGAACTAAGAGGAAAATTAGACACAATTCTTTCATATGTCGCCTTGTGTTGCAGTAAATTGGCTGGATCACAGCCGAACGTTCAGAGAACAAGGAGTGGATGAAAATGAGACGTTGCTGCTGAGACGGAAGTTCTTTTACTCTGATCAGAACGTGGACTCGAGAGACCCCGTGCAGCTGAACTTGCTCTATGTCCAGGTACCGTATTCTGTGCTCTGACGCTGAGGGCGGTGAGGTTCCCAGAAGCTCCAGCTGTGGCTTGTGGCCGGCAGGAGCTCGGCCCGGCCTCCGCCCGTGTCTGGGGCATGCAGTTTCCGCGTTTGGTGGTGGTGCAGGTTGACGTCCACCGGGAGCTGCTGGCCGTCCAGGGAATGGCCTTTGGTTGGCCTCCCAGCTGGGGTCCTGGTGGCCGGAACCGTCTCGCTCAGCCTGGCTTTGCAGCCCTACAGCTTTCTTAGCTCTCATGTTAGAGTACAAGGGAATATTGGTCAGAAAATAGTACTTCTCATTAACTAAAAGATATTCTCCCAATAGCCTTTTATGTCTTTACCATTAACTAATTGTTTAAACTCAGACAAGTCATTTAACTCATCTGAGTTGCAATGACCTAATATGTAAGAGGTGGGCTTTGCCCTGGTCAGTCCCCAGGGTTTCTTTTGGCTGAAGGAGAACATCCATCTTTCTCCTTTTCTTGCTTTTTTCATTCTTCCCCATCCTCTTTGCCTTTCATGTATCTACCTATCTGCTCATAGAAATCATGCAGAAGTCAGCAAAGTGCACCCACGGTGTCACCTGTGTTTGTAAATAAAGTTTTATTGGAACACAGCTCATTGGTTTACATGTTACATGTTCGTAAATCCCCTTATGTATCACATAATTGTCTACTTACTGTCTGTGGCAGCTCTCATGTTCCAGTGGCAGAGTTCAGTAGTTGTGACTGAGTCTGCAGGGCCCGCAAGGTCTAATTTGCTCACTCTCTGGCCCTTTACAGGAAAAGTTTGCTGACCCCTGAGTTAGTGGATGGAAGGAGGGACAGGGTGGGAGGAAAGAGGCTGGAAGGCCGGAGAGAGGGAGCTATCAGGGAAACAGGAAAATGCCTGTTGGTTGAAGGCTCGAGCCATAGGTTAGAGTGTCCATCAGAGAGTGCTCTGGGGCCATAACTAGAGAAAGGAAAGGGAAAGAAAAGGAATAAAAAGGGTCAGGACATGGGAGAATGACGTCAGATACAGTGGGTTCCGGATTCCAGGACTGCACGTTTGTTATCATTTTTCCTAAATGTCTGCGTTATTGAGTTCTTGTCTGTTCTTTCTCTATATCTTGGGTTGGGGATTGGGTTAATTTTACCTCTAGATAATTTGTCTGTTAGCTTTATCACTTAGGAACATGAAAAATATATGGTTATTTCTGTTTCTCCCTCTGTGACTCTGGTCATTTTACAAGGCTTTCCCTTTGCCTCTGTAATTTTCATGATCACGTCTACCTCCCTAGGTTATACTCCAGCTTTAGGTTTAATATACTGGACGTTGCTGGAATTGCCTTTTACCTGTAGGCAGTTTTGGGCAAGCACTTGTTTTCCCTTTGCCTTAATTCTGCTCTGCTGTCCTGAATGTACCACTCTGGGTTGGCTGGCATGTTTCCCCTCATTCCACGGAGAGGGTACAGGGTACGTACACTCGGACGCAGGAACACGGCCATGGAGAGAAGGTGTCGTTCCCCCACAAGCCCCTGATGCTTTTTGCTTCCTCTTGTGTTGCAGGCTCGAGACGATATCCTGAACGGCTCCCACCCTGTCTCCTTCGAGAAAGCTTGTGAGTTTGGTGGATTTCAAGCCCAGATACAATTTGGACCTCATGTGGAGCACAAACACAAGCCTGGATTCTTAGAGTAAGTGACCTTTTGTTTTTCTTTTTTCTCTTCTCTCCTTTTCACTATTTATTTTTGAGCCAGCTATGCAGAGTACACACACTAGGCTCAATCAGTCATGAGATTGTGAACGCTTACTCAGTTGAGTATATGATGAATTTTGTGGACCTTGGGGAAAGCGAGGGGCTGGGAAGTCAGAGCTGGGATGGCCGTGAAGACGACCTGCTCCACGTTCGGGCCGCATGTGGTTTCCTCTAAACCGCAGGGTCTGCAACGGCCCTCCATGCTGTTGTCCAGGCTGTCTCTGGAGTTGAGAAACTTACTTCCTCCGTCTTCTGAAGCCTCTGTCCCTTAGAACATCCCTTCTTTATACCAGGCCAAATTTTGTCATCTTTAATTTCTTTTCAGGACTCCAGTATTAGAACAACAGAGTATGAAAGAGGGCTTCACATTCTTTGTTACAATCTTCTGAAATCTTCATTGCTCTGACAGTGTGATGTATACATTAAAACTGACTGTACTCTTTCCACCCATCTGGTCGCTGGTTCTGTTTTATAAAATGATGAGAGTGATTTTTTTCTGGCTCAGTACTTGCAGATTCAGTACTCCCGACTCTTCATGGCCCCACCGAACGTGGGCCTGAGGGTTGGGTTTCCTAGAAATGCCCAGCAGACGAGCCCAGCCACCCACAGGCTGCCGTTTGTCTGAGGTCATCTTCCCCTCTGTTTTGATCTGGGCTTCTCCAAGGGTTTTGTATTTTTCTTCCTCTGATAACATTTTTTTCCTTTATGTTTTTCCCCACCTTTTCCCTCTTCGGCTTCCTCTTAAGTCATATGGAACATTTGACTGAGCCACAAAAATCACTGCAGAGAGTCTTAACCAGATCAGTATCCTGCTCCCCTAGAAGGCAGCTTGTAGAGGCTTTGCAAGGGGGGACCTGACACGCATGCCTCCTGGGGGTGGGCGGGCGTCCACTTTTCTGTAGGTTATGTCAACACGGGGTGCACTGAGTAGGTTATCCATTGTATGTGTCCGAGTGTATTGAGAGGAGAGGATAACATAAATGCTTATTTGGCCCTTGAGCCCACTGTCACTTCGGTGGCAGGTAATTGGGACCAACATATGCCCTAGGTGAAAAGGGAATCTGACTTCTCTCCTGGCAGCAGAGAATGCCTGACCAACATGCTGTTGGCTCTAAACTGAGTTGTTACTTTAAAAAATTCTACCCTTGGGTTAATGAATTCCAGGAAGCTTTTCCAAAGTGATGCCCTGTCCTACAGTGTTCTGTGCAGTGACCTTGAGTCTGAGAATGGCCCTGAGCAGGTCCTGTCATTCACTTTGTTCCGTATTCTCCAAACCAGTCATATGGCCAAGTGTTCCTCTGGGCCACTTCCACCCAGTCGGTCTGGCTTCCTTCCTGCAGGAGCCGTGAAAGTCTGCCTTTCTCTGTTCTGTGACACCCCAGTCGCCTTCCGGAAAACCATGTGCACACTGCCTTATAGTAGTTTCACCTTCCTGTGTTCTACCCTCACAGCTGGCTCCCCAGATACACATGGTGGTGTCATAAATCTGTGGATTATGGCCACGGAAATTGATAACGCCAAGAGCTAATTAAGCCCTGGAGGGAGGACGCATTTTGTTTCTGTTTCTGTTTCTTTGAGTGACTGATGAAGAACAGGAGAAAATGAAGAGGAGATTTATGAGTCCAAAATTTTAAATAAAATGTTTAGTTTTAGGATTTCGTAACTGTAAGCCAGGGTGGCCCTGCTGAGAATGTGAGCCGTTCATTGGGTGCCTACGATGATGCTCCCCTGGTCATTTCATTCATGCTTTTTCTTTCGAGCTTTCGGACAGATCATTCTCAGGGCCCCCTTTTGAATTAAGACAGCAGACTATTTTATGCTATGCATGCAGAAGAAGAAGCAGAGAGAGGAAAAGTGGCTTCTTAACAATTATGTAGAACTTTTCTGCAAGTAGCTTCTGACTTCCACACTGGGACGTACATCATTTACAAAGGGATTCCTACTCTGAGGGCAAAGTTGCCCCTTTCACTGGTCTCCCAATATGCACCCAAATTAGGAAAGCACTTAACAATGTGATTGCAAGGGTCTTCGTCTCGCTTCTAGTGTCACTGGTTGTGTCCACTACGTCACAGTGAATGTGGTTGTACCTCCGCCTGCTTGTGTGAGGGTTACAAACAGCATCAGAGCGTTGGTGTCCCTCTTATGCTGTCTCCTGTGGTTTATGGGCCTGTGGGATGGTGCACACCTACACTGCATCAGAGATGTCCCTTCTCTTAATAGTGGGGGGTAGTCAAGGTGAAGCAGTTGTGTTCACTTTCCTTATTTCTGAGGTGGTGGCATGGAGCCCCTGCCTCTTGTGGTATGTGGATCCGTACTCAGATTCCAGATTAAAACAAGCTTTTTATGCCTGGTGGCAGTTACTTTTTCTTTTCTTTTTTTTTTCCTTTTCAGTTTTATTAGGTAGAATTATTATGGTTCTACTGCACATATGCATTATATTGCTTGTAAATACATGTATATAGTATACTGCCCATTTTTTTTAGTTTACATACATGTACTGATTCTTGTTTCTAAGAACAGATTAGAGCTTTAGCTTTTTAAACTTATATAGTTATCAAAGGAATAAAGCCAACTACAAAATAAGAATCAACAGAATGCAGTAATCCAATCATAAAGGATAGTCAGATGTACTTACACATATTCAAGAAATCAGTCATCTAAGTTATAAATAATAAGTAGTTCATTTGTGTCCTTATTATTGTTATTATTTTTTAGATTCCTCATATAAATGATGTCATATGTCATTTTTCCTTCTCTTTCCAGCCCATTTCAGTTAGAGTGACAGTCTTCAGGTCTATCCACATTGCTGCAAATGGCATTATTTTCTTCTTTTTATGGCTGAGTAGTATTCCATTGTGTAAATATACCACAACTTCTTTATCCAGTCATCTGTCAGTGGACATTTAGGTTGTTTCCATGTCTTGGCTATTGCAAATAGTGCTGCTCTGAACAATGGGGTGCATGAATTTTCTTATGAATTTGTTTTACTTTTTAATTAGGCCAAATCTAGTGTAGGTAATGAGGCATTTTGATTCAGTGTAGATGTTTAACTGTGTATCTGACTGCACATACTGCACAGGTAAAACTTCTGAGCACATTAGTCTCCTCTTAATCAAAGCAGCAAGATCACATTTCCCTGACTGGACGTTGGATAGTCTCCGACTATCCAAGAGTAAGATGCCTGGGCTGTCCCTGGTGACTGTGGCTGGCCCATGTTTGCCAGCCTTCATGTTTTACCCCATCTACCTTTCACACATACTGTCATCTTTGAACAATTCAGTAAAAAAAAAAAAAAAGATCACAGTGAAAAGAATGTAACAATGAATGTATGTATGTTCATGTATAACTGAAAAATTGTGCTCTACACTGGAAATTGACATAACATTGTAAACTGACTATAACTCAATAGAATAAAAGTTTAAAAAAAGAAAATGAAAAAAAAATTAATAGAAGATTGGACTTGTCACAGAGCCTGGCTGAAGTTAAAGCCAGACAGAGATTGTGGCTGTGGCCACATAGATTGTAGGTGAGGTACATAGAGGCATGTTTAATGATTACATTTCTTTTAATTTTTTGAAAATTGGGGAATAGTTGACCACTATTATTGTATATTTTTAGAGTATACAACTTGACGATTTGACATACATACAGAATGATTACTCCATGACCTCACATAGTTGGGGGGGTGGTGTGGTGGGAATGCTTAAATACTCAGCAACTTTGAAGTACTCAGTACTGTGTTATTCACTATAGATACCATGCTGTACATTAGATTCTTATTCTTCTTATAATTAAAAACTCTGTACTCTTTAATCTACATTACCCCCATTTACTTTTCCCCCAGACCCTGGACACCACCATTCTATTTTCTGCTTCCATGAAATTGGCTTAAAAAAAAAATCCACGCGTAAGTGATACCAGATAGCATTTGTCATTCTCTGTCTGGCTTCTGTCACTTAGCATATTATGCACCAGGTCCATCTGTGTTGTCACACATGGCAGGGTTTCCTTTTTCTTACGGTGGAATACTATTTCATGATACATACCTACCACTCATTTTCTTTACCCATTCATGCATCAAAAGATGTTTAAGTTGTTTCCATACCTTAACTGTTGTGAATAATACTGCAGTGAACATGGGTGTGCAGGTACTCTTCAAGACACTGATTTCAGTCTCTGTGGATGCACACCGAGGAGTGGGATTGCTGGATCATATAGCCGTTACTCCGGACCTTTTAATGAGATTTTTTTTTCTCCTTTCTGCAGACCCTTTAATGATTTCTGGGGTCAGTGCTACCTTGGTGAAAGTGTTTATTTAGAATGAAAATCAGAGAGTAAAATATTTTAAGAGCCTTCAGGGATTTAAGGATTATTGAATGTCCCCCATCTGCCCTATGGATGGTGAAAACAGGTACAAGAGAGTCAGGGAAAACAATAAGGTGCAGAACCAGGAAGCTGGAAGCCAGGAAACGGCCACTTCTCCCAAGTCCAATCTGATGTGTTTTACCTATGTGACACTTTTCTTCAGGTCATTTCCAAAGAGTCCTAGGAAGGGACATTTTATCGGAGCATGAAGTATAAACAACATAATCCAAGAATCGTGGAAATTCTTTATGCTCTCCTGTGTTCAGAAGACACTTGCAGAAAGCAAACCGTGTGGTGTTGACTCAGTGAGAACTTCATATGTGTGTTCTGTTGTGCCAGGTGTAGGGAGGATAACACGGAGATACTATAAATTAATTCTTCCCTGTTTTTGAGACTGCAGTCTGTCTGGCAATAAACCTATGAAATTGTTATTTTGGAAAGCCAAAATGTGGCTCTAATTTCAGCAAGATCTTACCTTTAACTATATTTTCAATAAAGGACAGTCTATTTAGGATTCCAAAATCCAAAATTGCAGTGCAGGCTTTGGGACTGTTATGATAATTGTTTCTAGAA